ATAGCAATAAGTGAAATACCATTTTCACCCAACATTTTAGCAAACATTAAAGATAAATAATATCAAGTGCTGCCAGGGACATGAGGAAGAAGGCACTTTCTACACTATTGTGGGAGTATAACTTCATATAGCATTTTTGTAGAGGAATTTGAGACTATCTATCAAATCTTGAAACAGTAATTTCATTTCTATGAAGAAAGATGCTTCAAGAATAATCACAGATGTGCACAAATATCTATGTGCATATTACAACATGACCCACTGGGATTTATCCCAGGAATGCAAAATTTATTTAACATATGAAAATTAATCAATGTAATACAACATAGCAATATAATAAAGAACAAAAGCCAATAGTCATCTTAACAGATGCAGAAAAAGCATTTGACAAAATCTAGTACCCTTTTATGAAAAAACACTCAACAAACTAGGAATAGAAAGGATCTCCTTCAAACTGATAAAGGGCATCTATGAAAAACCCACAGCTAACATCATACTTAATAGTGAAAGACTGAAACCTTCTCCCTAAGACAAAAACAAGACTAGGATGTGCACTCTCGTCACTTCTATTCAACATTGTACTGAATGCTCTAGCCAGGCAAATTAGGCAAGAAAATGAAATAAAAGGCATCCAAATTGGAAAGGAAGAGGTAACACTGTCTCTTTGCACAGATATACATATGTACAGATCTTGTACAAGAAAACCACAAGGAAGCAAAAAAAAAAAAACTATTAAAACTAATGAACAAGTTCAGCAAAGTTGAAGGATACAAGATCAATATATAAAAATCAATTGTATTTCCATACACTTGCAATGAACAATCCAAATATGGAGTTAAGAAAATTTCATTTACAATAGTATCAAAAAGAATAAAATACTTGGGAATAAATTGAACCAAGGAGGTACAAGGCATGTACACTGAAACTACAAAATATTGTTGAATGATATTTAAAAAGACATAAATGGAAATAAATAAATGGATAGACATGCTGCGTTCACGGATCAGAAGACTTAATATTGTTAAGATGGCAATACTCCCCAAAGTGATATACAGATAACACAACCCCTATCAAAATTCCAGCTTGCTTTTTGGCAGAAATGGACAGATTGATCCTAAAATCCATAGGGGCACACAAGGGATCCAGAAGAGCCAAAATGATTTTAAAAATGAAGAACAAAATTGGAGGACTCTTGCTACATTAATCGATTCAGTGGGAGAAAGAATAGGATTTTCCACAAATGGCTTTCAGACAACTGGATATCCATATGTAAAAGAACGAATTCGGACCCATACCTCACATTATATACAAAAATTAACTCAAAATGGATCAAAGACCTAAATGTAACAGCTAAAACTATAACACTCTTAAAAGAAAACATAGGCCTAAATTTTCATGACCTTGCTTTAAGCAATGGTTTCTTAGATATGATACCCAAACACAAGCAACAAAAGAAAAATAGAGGAATTTGACTTCATCAAAATTTTAAAAACCTTTGTGTCTCTAAGGGTATTGTCCAAGTTGGGGAAGCACTTTAGAGAGTGCTTTTCTCCCCAGGTGTCTCAGCAGACTTCCCTGACCAGTTGCAAGTTGTGTGATCTCTAGAGACCCTAAGACACTATAGTCCTATGAGAACACAGAGATGGAGGCCAACTGGGCACCTAAAGGGTCAGAAGACAACGGCCCTTTAACACGGTCACCATGCCCCACAGTTGATACTCAAATCGTCTGTGTGCTGCTGCATCCCTGGCTTCATTTTTCTGCATTTCCAAACCGACCATTTCAAGCTGGCACTCTTTCTTCAGATAAATGATAGTGTGTTTTGGACAATAGTCAAGCCCTGCTCTTCTTGCTTTTTGTACGTTAACAGTTTTATGGCATCAACAAAAATCTATTCAGCATGTCCTATAGTAGGCACTGTGTTAGGTACTTTATTTTTTTTTTTTTTGTTCTTTGTGAGGAAGATCAGCACTGAGCTAACATCCATGCTAATCCTCCTCTTTTTGCTGAGGAAGACCGGCTCTGAGCTAACATCTATTGCCAATCCTCCTCTTTTTTTTTTCCCCAAAGCCCCAGTAGATAGTTGTATGTCATAGCTGCACATCCTTCTAGTTGCTGTATGTGGGACGAGACCTCAGCATGGCCGGACAAGCGATGTGTCGGTGCATGCCCGGGATCTGAACCCGGGCTGCCAGTAGCGGAGCGCGTGAACTTAGCCGCTAAGCCATGGGGCCAGCCCCTGTGTTAGGTACTTTAGACCTGAGAGATACTCTGTCTAAAGTGACAAGATATGGAAACAACGCAAATGCCCATCAACGGATGAATGGATAAAAAAAGATGTGGTATATATATGCAATGGAATACTACTCAGCCATAAAAAAGATAAAATTGTACCATTTGTGACAAAGTGGATGGACCTTGAGGGTGTTATGCTAAGTGAAATAAGTCAGACAGAAAAAGACAAGTACTGTATGATTTCACTTATATGTGGAATCTCAAAAAGTCAAACTCAAAAAAAACAGAATAGAATGGTGGTTCCCAGGGAATGGGGGCTGGGAGGACAAAAATTGATGTTGTTTAAGTGTACAAACTTGTACGACTAGTAAATAAGTCACACTGATGTAACACACGGTATAGTGACCATAGACAACAATATTGTACTATAATTATGTAATGTGATCAATATTGCTACAATGGCAATCATATTACAATATATAAATGTATCAAAGGAACACGTTGTGCACCTTAAATTTACACAATGTTATATGTCAAATATATTCAATAAAAAATAATTTTTTAAAATTTTCAAATATTTGTGTTTAGGTCTGTCTCTTAGCTACCCAGGAGCTTGAGACTGGATGGTCAGTATTCTTGGCTGCTGGGTGCACCCAGCTCAGCTTTCAGTCTCATTCCTTATGTATTGATTTTATTGACTTCCCTCAGGGTTCTAGGAGTGCCTCAATATAGCTCCCAATACAGGCATAATTTTGCATACAATACTACCTAATAATTGCAGTAACAGCAAGCAGCTATTATGCATGTCTTATGTGCAGTTCTATATAAGTACCTTAGATGCGTTATCTCGTTTGATCCTTAAAACAATTGTATGCAGTAGATATCACTAATGTCTGCATTATATAGATGAGAATACTGGAGCATAGAGAGGCCAAGTAACGTTTCCCATAGTCACACAGTCAGTAACTGACCACGCCAAGACTCTGACCCAAGTCTGTGAAACTAGAGAAGGTATGTGGTTAACCATGATGCCAGAGATTGCCTTATTACAATATTCATACAATGTTCAGGCCAGCCTGAATTATCAAAAAATAATAAAAATATGCCCAATGCCTTTTATTTAAAAAATGAAAATTACGACATACTTTTTAGAAAGATTTATATCCAAAGTAGATAAAATATCTTAAGCATTGTTGCTTAAAGTAGTAAGCATTAGTTATCAGAAAAATCCACTTTTGTGAAACGACTCATTCTCCAACAATGCCAGACCCAGGAGGTGTTTCTGTATCATCTAGTATTCTTAGAACTGCAAAGAAGCTCAGCATACCTTCTGGCAGCTTCAGAGTGCAGAAATTGTTGGCAACTTCACCATGTTTTTATTTGACAAATAGAAAAAGAAAATACCATGATCTGTTTGTAATACATATCATTCTGTAATGGATATAGAGTGGTCTCGGGGTACACCTACCTCAAAAGCCAGACACACACGTGCCTATGCACACATACACGTGCCCATGCACACACATGTGCGCACACGCACACACACACACACACATACACAGAGCTATAATTAGGCAATAGGGAAACCCAGAATAAAATATTCTGAGACGAGCATAGCCTGATGCTCTGGTTAACTTGAGGAAAAATTCTGAAGCAAGCAAAGTTGATCTAGGACAAAGCTACTTGTACTACTACTTACTACTAATAGCTAACACTTGGAAAACACTTACTATGTGCCAGGCACTCTTCCGAGGACATGGATTCATTGAAATCTCACACACCAATCCTATGAGATAGGTGCTGCTATTATTCCCATTTTACAGTTAGGGAGACTGAGGCATAGAGGCATAATTAAGTAACATGCCCAAGGTCACAAAGGTACTAGTGAGAGAGAACTGAGATTTGAACCCAAGCAGTCTAGCATCAGAGACCATGCTCAAACCACTACTAGTATTTCTCCACAAAAAGTACTACTAACGCAAGTCTGCACTTCTTATGTCCCTGGTCCTGTGATGAACACTCTACATACATTATCTCATAGATCTTTTGAAGTTGGAGCTCTTAGCCTAAATTATTATGCAGTATCTCATTTGATCCTTAAGACAACCACATGAGGTAGCTATAATTGTGTCCATTTTACAGATAAAAACATTGAGGCACAGAGAAGTTAAGTAACTTCTTAACACACAGGCAAAAGTACCACCTCCCTTTCAGCAACAACCCCTATACATGTTGTGTATATTGCATATAATATAAGATAATGCAATGTAATTTAATATTCAATTTCCACCTCAGGGCCAGGTTCTCTCAGCATTTCAAGGTCTGTGTTCTAAAGTGGGAAAAAGTGACAATAGACTTTCCTCTCTTCCAAACTCAGGGGGATTGCAGTGACCCTCTGCAGCAGCCAGTGGCCCACTTTTGGTTCCCCTTAGTAGGGAAGCACACCACACATGCTCTGTCGCCGGAAGCCTGCTCTCACATCCACACAAGCTCTGTCACCGGAAGCCTGCTCTCACGGCTTGGATGCTGTATTTAAAAGATATCGTATTTTGAGTTTTGATTTTGTTTTGCTTTGTTTTGGAACTGGTTTCTGGAAAAGACAAACTAGCAACCACCACTGGGGACCACCAATCTCAACCATGGTTTCCATACAATGCTTCCTCTGTTTAACAGTGAAAATAAACCAAGCACTTTTACTATACCACCATCTCAATTAGCAGAGCGAAAAATGATGACAACGAGGAAGACAATCTGGGCAGGCTTACCTCCACTTGAAGGGTCGCACATCCTTTCAGGAAGTCATTGATGTTATTCATGCAGTCAGCTTCAGTTTGGGGCTCCAGACAGTACTAGAGAAATATAGTCAAATGTCACTTGGAGACTGTCATCCATGCCAAGCATACCATATTTCTCATTCATTGATGACTAGATAGGTAGGCGCTTTAAGGCAAGGGGCAACATTGCTGTCAATCCAGGAAGAGAAATAACCACCGAAGGAAGTGATGCGAAAATCTAAACGGTTGGTCTTTGTTTCAAATGTCACCAAACCTTTAGTCCCAAGTGATCTCTACTTACAAACTTTTTCTCATGCTTTTTGCCAAGTGTGGTAATAGCAAATTAGAGAGACCCAGACAGTTTTTTGAGCTTGGTTCTTGCTTTCAATTGATTACTTTGCTCCCTCCTCCTCATGACAATTTATTAAAATTATATTTTCCCCTTTGCTATTCTCTACATTTGATCACAGTTGTCTCTATTTTATAAATATTTTATCACCATTTTTCAAGTTTAAGAAATTATAAGTAAATAAATCTGTTCAATAAAAATACAAACTGATTCAAGAAGGCAAAAGAACTATGCTCACAGTCACAGTCCCCACTGACTTTAAGAAAATAACTGTAGGACTCTACAGTTAAACTTACTTAAAGTGCCTACTTTAGAAATTATCCAGCCTTTTGATCATGGGTTTTCAACAATAAAAATTTTGGATTTTTAAAAGAGAGTAACGTTAGTTTCACTTTGAACACATGTTGCATTTGAAACATATATTTGGTTTCTATTGTTTTAACAAAGCTTATGTGACATTTTGGATTATTTTTCCTGCTTGCTAAATAGTCTCTCTTTCAATGGATATTTTATCTCCTTGAGAAGAAAATCTACATTGATTTTAGTCAAATTGCCAATAAACACCATCAATATCTGTTATAAATCACCCCATTATTACACAGACTCATATGTACCCCAAGTTCAGAACATGCCCTCGGTACACAGGGAGCTGTGACATGTATATCTGTGACAGAGCAAGCTTGTGATACGGGTGTTCTTGTCCCCTGGTATCAGGTTTTTAGTACACTGATATTTCTGGGACAATTACTAAACAATAGAATTTCATTTTCTGACTTTTTCAAACTAAAGAAACAGTAAGAAAGAATGTCTAACTCTTAGAGATTAAAGGAGAGTCCCGTGACCTGCCCAATAGAACATCTCAAGAGTTATATTATTGCTGCTCTCTGGTGGTAAGCAATCCTCAAGGTACTGTAAATTTCCCTTACCTTTTCTATAGAGCCAGGCCTAAGTCTGTTGATCAGTTTGCACAGCACTACCCCATTTTTCAGCGAGGACTTCAAGAACTCTTCCGGATCACAGATGGTCTTTTTGGGGGAATCTAAAACTCCCAAGGATATAAGCCATGTCACGATTCGCTCTTCTGGATTCATTACTGAGGACTGTACGCTCCAAACAGCTCTCAGGGGCAGCTGCAAGGACTAAGCCACATCCGCGATTGCATCTGCTGTTGTCTTCCTTTTTATGAGTTCTCTTCTGGGGCTTGCAGAACAAAGCTTTGAAACAACTTTTCTTAGACAACGGTGGAACCCACTCAAATTATGGAATTTTAAAACCACAGAGATCACATTCAAAGATGTGGAAATAGAATGAATGTAAAAATCATGGATAGCACTCGTTTTCTTTTTCAAAATCTGCAAAACAAATTCATTAGGATAAAAAAAGAAGAAGCACACACACACACACACACACAAAACCCCAACAGTGCAAGAAGCTGTAAGGGAAGGAAGTGGGGAGGATGCTGGGGAGGGAGGAGAGAGAAGGAAGCAAGTGCTCTTGGAAAACAGAGGTGAGCCAGCACTTCAGAGGACCTTAGAAATGAGCCACTCATGGGCCAGTCGGGGAAAACGCTGTCAATAAATAGTCTAGCCCCAGTGAAAAGCTGGCTTCTGTCAAGAGGAAGATGCCAACTGGCTCTTAGGTCAGACAGATTCGAGCCTCGTAGGGAGCTGTGCTGGCACAACAAGGCTCAAAGAAGGTAGGCTGAGAAAGTTCTTCCAAGAAACGGCCGGATGTCTTCATACTGTCTCACGGAGATGGTGTATCACGATCATTCCTTGCAAAACACGTTGAGTTGCATGGTGACAACATGCCAAACAAATGAAGATTGTGCCTGCTGTCAGCCATCACTCTGTATAAGCAGAAGCTAGAAGAGTGGCATTTTACTTTGCAGCCAAAAAGCTATGTTTAGGGAAATAGGCTAAGGATAACATCTGACATCCTGTTTACTTGCATTCTTTAGCAATTCTTTTTCTGGACATGGTTCCACTACACAATCCAGCTGCAGTACCCTTAGCAAAGGCTCAGACACAGTCATATAAGCGGGTAAAAAACACTTGAAAACAGAACTTTAGAGAATAAAAGAGCACTTGTCCTCTGTCTACACTACAGTCTGGAAGGTTGATGCTTCCCCAACAAGAAACACTTTGAGTCAAAAATGCTGCTCTGAAAAAAAACTGGTCTATAAAAAGAGATCTTCAGTATTCTCAAACACTTTCATAACCGGTTGAAATACTCATACTGTTGGGAAATCTATGATAAGGGCAACTTGAACAGCACAGCCTTAGCTTGGCAAAGGCATGGTACTCACCATCACTGCCCCTCCTTATGCATGGGATCCTGCTAAGCTTCAGAATTCTCTTCTACTACCAAATAAGCACCTTAGATAATCCTGCTAAATGTTTGCAAAGCTTCCCCTTCTTGCCCTGTCATAACACTTATCACGCTTTACTATTACTACTTGTGCATCTGTCTCCTCCACCAGAATGTAACCTCCCTAGAGCAGGGGTCTTATCTGTCCTGTTTAATACTGTTCCCAGCAGAGTGCCTGGTACACAGTCGATGTTCAAAAATGCTGAATGAATGAATGAATGAATGTACTCATACGGTCTTCTGGGTACAGGCACTACTTGATTATAAGAAGGATTTTTTGTTTGTTTTAATGGCTGAAAATAAACACTTTTTCCTTGCTAATGATTTTTTATTTATTGAGGTATAATTGACACATAATAAACTGCACATATTTAAAATGTATGATTTGGTGAATTTTGACATATGTATACATCTGGGATACAATCACACGTACACATACGCACACTCCAGATAAACCTTTCCGTCACCCCCAAAAGTGTCCTCGTGCCCTTTTAATCCCTTCTTCCCTCCCTTCCCCTCAAAGCCCAGGCCACCACCAATCTGCTTTCAGTCCCTATAGATCAGTTTGCATTTTCTAGAATCTTATATAAACGGAAGCATGCAGCATGGTAATTTCTTTTACCTGGCTTCTTTCACTCAACATTATCATTTTGAGATTGATTTATGTTGTTGTGTCTATTAGTAGTTCTATAACAAGGATTTGACATCTAAATGTTTGGTTTGATGTAATTATATGTATAGGCAAAATAAGAATGGTCAATCAAAAGTTGTAATTGACCTTTGACCTGTGACCAAATCTATGTAATAGAAAAAAATATAAGATCTATTTGTGGATAAATGAAATTCCCAAGTCAGACCTACTTAAACACATTTTTGTATGTCATTTGGACAATTTTCACAATTGCTCACCAAAATTGTACTCTACAGACAAACAAATCTGGCAGTATTATTGCGGTATCATTTACGTTTTCTAGTGAAGAACAAAGCCTGGGTAATTTCAGGAGCCCAGCCTCGTCCAAAATAGGCTTGAGCCCAGTGAGGTCACCTGGATGAAAATCTGTCTCATTTTGGACACTGACTATAACAAATTACTATAAGTAATAAAGTGAAACCAGAAAGGCAAGTTTATTTCCTCAAGGCAGAAAAAGTGGTCCTGTTAGTATAAAGATTGGAAGTTGGGGTTGGTATGGTCAAATGTCAAGAGAGCAAGGGATTTCAGGACAGTAGCAAGCATTTGGGTGAAATGACTAACCGTGGAACCCAGGCTGCATAGGGAAGCAAGTGATGATGGAAAAGAGGGGTTGAACTGGGGGAATAGGGTGAGGGGTTGAAAGACTAGAGGTCACAGTGACGCAACAAGTAGCAGGCTCCACACAAGAGCATGAGAAAAAGAGAAAAGGCCAGTCACTTGACTTCCGATTCTTAGTACCATACACCCTGGGCCACTAAACCTGCCCCCTCACTCACTGGCTTTCCCACCTCCATCTTCTCATCCTAATGAACTCTCTGGCAGAGCACAGTTGTGTGCTCCGTACCTCTTTGATAGTGTAATACCCCTGCTCAAAAATCCTCAAAGACTCTCCATCACCTAAAGCAGTGATTTACAAACAACAATGTACAAAAATAATCCTCTTGTGAGAAAGGAAGGAGAAAAGAATGAGAGTGGAACTTGAGCCAAAATAGGTAACATTTTATTAAAAATAAAGAGATCTACAGGAAGTGAGGTAAATGTTAATATTTGTTAAAACTGGTTGCTGGGTACATTGGTACCAGTTATACTATTTTCTTTCCTTTTATGTGTCTGAAATATTCATAATGGATTTTTAAAATTTTAAATCTACTGAACATCTGTTAAAAAGATTTGGGGGCTCTATTCCCCAAAGTCCTAGTTCAGAAGATCTGCAACAGGGCAAAGGAATCTGTATTATTAAAGTATCCCACTTGACTCTGAGGCAGGTGGACCAAGGTTACACATGGAGAAACAAGTTGGTTTATAACCTTCCACTCCACCTCAATTTTTGCCAACACCTGGGTCATTTCAATAACCACAAGTACAACAGTCCAACATCATGACCACTCAGTTCCTTGACCTCCTCTATAGGTAATTGATGTATTACCTCTCAGCCCCTCTTTATGCTTGTTCTGTGAAAAGGGACCTGGGGCCTTTAAATACGTTTTACTTGGCCAGTTGGCAGGATATGCAGATTTATCAGTAGCTGGCAGTGGAGAGACATTGCAGGAAGAAGGGGTTTCACTTCCTGTTTCCTGTGTGCTCACTCCACAGGCTCCAACCAGCTCCCAGCTTTCCTAGTGCTCATCTTCTGCAGCATTGTTTTCCTCAATGCACAGCAGGTAACACCTGCCCCTGGCACCACGCTTGGGTGGTTCTGCAGCAAAATGTCTCTGGTGAGACACCCACCCTGTGAACAGGAAACCAGCACCCTAGAGAGGCACGTTTTCAACAAGATCCAGAGGGTGGATGTCCAGCAAGTTCCACTGACTTGGCATTACAGCAACTTCTCTAACAAGGCCTGGATCTCAGCCACGGGTAGAGAGGAGGGTTATCACAGCTTCAGGGGTAGTGACTATTATATATTATTTTTATATTGTCTGCTACTATATATTATATCTGTTATTCCTATATTCTTTTAGGGTTCCCTTTACTTCTTACTACTCAATCCCTCTTACTCCTATCTCCTGTTATTATTAATAATTCTTCATGTTAAACTTTTCATGTTCAAATCCCTCTGTGGTTTCTCTGTCCTGATTGGGCCTAGGCTGACACACCTTATTATCTTCAATGAACACTCCTCCACGTTAGCCAACCACTGGCAAGGTCACACCTTGTACTTTGTCATCACACAAACTTCTCTGCCTCCTAAATCATAAATTCGAACATTACATTTTCTAACTACAACCTACCATCTTTCCAGCTTGCTTGTTCAGTTACTCCCACTACAACTAGTCCTTAACTTCGTAAGGATCTTCAAAGCATTGTTTTCAAAAATGATTATACAAATTTACATTCTCACCAGCAGGGTATGATTTCCCAGTGCTCCATATCATAGCTAACATTTGATATTTCAGACTTTTAAAATTTTATTATCTTTGTGGGTATGAAATTTACTTTTCTACGATTACTAAAAAGGTTGAGCATTTTTTCACATGTTGATTGGCCACACACGTTTCCTCTTCTGTAAAATACTTGCTCATTTCTATTGCCCACTTTTCTACTGAGTTATTTGTCTTCTGTTATTGATTTGTAGAAGTTTGTTATACATTACGGATACTAAACCAACGTCAGTTATATGTGTTTGCGAATATCTTCTTGTACTCTTGTCTTTCATTTTGTGGTGTATTTTAAGAAACAGAAGTTCTTGATTTTTAAAAATAAGATAATTTATCTCACTTTCATGTAAAGTAAGTCCAGAATTTGGCAGTCTAAGGCTAGCATGCAGCTTCATAGTCATCAGAAATCCAGGATTCTACCCTCCTGCTACTTTGCCATCTTTAGCTTCCCACCTCATAGTTCAAAATGACTCTTTATGTGAACTTGGATTAGGCAGTGGTATCTTAGATATCACACCAAGGCCACAGCAACAAAGAAAAGAATAGACAAATTGTTCTTCATCAAAATTAGACATTTTTTCTGCTTAAGAGGACACTGTCAAGAAAGGGAAAAGGCAACTTACAGGATGGGAGAAAATATTTGAAAATCATATACCTGATTAGGGACTTGTA